CACATCCCCAGCCCTATTTTGTATTTTATTTAGAGACAGGGTCTCACTGAGTTGCTTAGCACCTCACTTTTGCTGAGGCTGGCTTTGAACTCACAGTCCTTCTACCTCAGCCTCCCGCTCCACAGGGATTACAGGTGTGCACCACCACACCTGGCTTACTTTAGGGTCTTCGCACTTGCTTTTTTTTTTCTTTTTTGTCTAAAACTCTCTTCCTTTAGGTAATCATATCTTCTCTTCAGAGAGGGTCTCCCTGAGGAAGCTATTTCCCTCCCCAAATAGCTCTCATCCTCCTATGTTCATTAGGCTTTGTCCTCCTTCTGTGTCATTATTTTCATTGTAGCACTGACCACTGTTTCATATATATTTGCCTACCATTTATCCTCTCCTTTCCTTTTCCTTGAAAACAAGGATTTGTTTTTTCCTTGCTGTATCTCCAATGACTAGAGGAATACTTGGCACATAGTAGCCATGGAATAGGCACATAATTAATACCTGTCAAATTGAATGACTAGCTGAATGAATGAACACATTAATATATGTTCTTTGCTCATCTCCTAAACTAGGTTCTAAGCAACTTCAGGGTAGATGCCCCCACTTCATCTTTGAATCCCAAAGTATTTATAAACATCAACAACTTGAGTACAGTGCTTGAAACAATTTGTAAGTGTCATGTGGAAACTAGTTTAGCCAATCACAGTGGAACAGGGATTTGGAACACTGGAATTTAAGAGAGCAGCATTCCCAACCAGGCTTTCACTAGGGAGTTGCACAGGCTAGAAAAAACAATCATAGTGGATTTCTGCTTTCTCATGTGTAAAGGTAGGGCTTGAACTGAAAAGCTAAGGCAAGTGTTTTTTGATGTTATTCTTTTGTTTTGGGGGTGTGAGGATAGAACCTAGAGCCTCACTCATGCTAGTAGACATGGACTAGATATCTAAATTCCTTTCAGCATTGACATTCTGATTGTAAATATAGGGCAACTACACAATTATGTGACAAACACTCACTGCTCTGAATGCCTGATAATCCCTACAAAAACAAGATCCCAATCTCAAGAGTTCCCCACTTGAAAGGGACTATAAAAAGGTAGGGTCAACTCAGCTGCAACAAGAACTAAAAGTCTTATACCAGAGTCTGCCAAGAATTGATTCAAGAAAGATTCAAAGAAATGACTGTGCAAAGGTCATAGGCTAAGGAGCAGCAAGGGGTATTTACAACTACAACCATAATACCTAATTGTGTAGTGGGAGGTGTTTGCTGGCAATGGAACCCAGGGCCTCATGTTATGCAAGCACTCTACCCCTAAAGGACATCCCCAGGCCCTTTTATTTTTGAGACAGAATATTAAGTTGCTCAGGCTGACTTCAACCTTTCCATCCTCTGCCTCGCCTTCCTAAGTACATGCATAGAACTACAGACATGTGCCAAAACTCCTGCCCATACCATTTTGTGTTAATAAATAATTGTTTGAGCCAAATAGCTTTTATAGACCGAAAAATATGCACTGCATTCAACAAAGCTCTGAAGCCCATTTCAGCCAAAAGAACGTTCACAACTCAAAAAGACCAGATGAGGCCCAACCTAAGTTGTTCAACTTTAGGAAATGATCCTTGCTATTTCCTGTGAGATGGACTCATTCTTCTTGAACCTCTAAGGCCACCTCACACTGTACCTCCCTAGCATAGCATAGGCCCTAGTTGGACACAAAATTGGACTTGGAATTTGGAAGAAAGGGCAGGGTCTATGCACGGGTCAGGCGTCCTTAAGCCTTGGCAACCCAAGCAGGTAGGGTAGTTGCCCCCGAAGTGACCCCACCTTGCCTACCAATTGAGACACTTTGTTACCAGACCTGGCGCCAGCTAGAGGCTGGTTTGCTTCCCGCTCATTGGCCAGAGAAGCTCCTCAGAGAAGTCCTTGTTACTACAGGCGAGAATGAGAGCCCATTGGCCAGGACACTTCACAATGCCCAAACGGCCTTCAGGGTTCTTCGGATTGGTTCGCTGTCTTGTCTCGGCGACCCTATGGCCTGGAACCCTGGCAGGCTGCTTGGTGCCAGGAACAAGCGCTCCCCTCAGACGCCAGCTCCCCATTGGCTGTCCTGGCACCGCCCTCCCAACCAGGAGCTAAGAGCAAAGCCTCAGAGTGCGCTCCCTGCGGCCAGACCTAGTACCTTGTGAGACCGAGGAGCTCGGCCTGTCTCCCTGGCCTCGAAGTTGAAGGCCTGCTATAGAGGACGCTGTGCTCCCTGGGGACCTGCTCTGTCTCCCAGCGCGGGGCCTTCCCCTCAGAGCTCCGCATCCCCAACCTGGAAACCAACCCCGAAGGCTTCAGTAAGTTTGACTGACCCACTTAGGTGCGAACCCACTTAGGTGCGGCGGAGAGAGGTGTCCCAACTCTGCGAATCTGCTGTTACCCCCTTAATTGTTCAACCAGCAGCTGTTGATCGCTTCATTAATTTAGTTTTCTGGGTCCACCCCACTGTGCCACTTGTCTAAATCCTTATTTTTCTCTGATGTGCTGGAATCTTGTGCCCTAAAGTATCCTGATTGAGATCCTAATTGGGAAGTGGTGGAACCGAGGGTGAAACCCCAGAGGGACGATGTTCTACTATCCCAACGTGCTTCAGCGCCACACTGGCTGCTTTGCCACTATCTGGTGAGGGCCAGACTGGTGGGAATGCCGGGAGAGGAACCAGGGATCCCAGACTAACGGCTTCCTCTCATACTCACCTTCCCACCCGCTCCAGGCTGGCAGCTACGCGCGGCAGCCGGTTGGTGAAGCGTGAGTACCTTAAGGTGAACGTAGTGAAGACCTGGTAAGGCCCAGAAAAGGCGGACAAGGCTGTGGGGCGGGTGCCGGGTGCATAGATGATTAGGGTATATCGTTCCCCCAGCGAGGAAATCCTCAATTACGTGCTGGTGCGAGTGCAGCCTCCGATGCCGGGCCTGCCGCGGCCGCGTTTCTCCCTCTATCTCTCTGCGCAGCTCCAGATAGGTGTGATCCGAGTCTACTCTCAGCAATGCCAGTACCTCATTGGTAAGGCTGGGAACCCTAGAGATGCGGCAGAGCTGAGTGGCCCTCTGCTAAGCTGGCTCTTTACTTTGTCCTTCCTGCCCACAGAGGACATCCAGCACATCCTGGAGCGCCTGCACCGTGCCCAACTACAGATCCGCATTGATATGGTGGAGGCTGACCTGTGAGTGTCCCACGGGAACTGGGATCACGGCAGACTGGGTGGAGCACCTATCTTCTTCTTGGCCTCAGCCTATCTCAACATCCATCCTTGACAAGCCCACATTCTCTCCCAGACCCAGTCTGCTGCTTCCCAACCACCTGGCCTTGATGGAGACCCTAGAAGATGCTCCAGACCCCTTTTTTGGGATGATGTCTGTGGATCCCAGACTTCCCAGCCCCTTCGATATCCCTCAGGTAGAGGTTATTCTAGAATACCTCAAAGTCGTAAGTTTGACAGAACAGAAGGGGAGCTGTATCACTGTTGTCTAAAACTGGGGTTCAGGAAAAAGCCTGTCATAGCTCTTCCCCAGAAGAGATGGGGAGGGCACTAACATGGTAAGTCCATATAGGCAGAGCCCCCTGTATTTGCCTCTTCAGGGCCAACCTGCTAGGATGATCTCCTTGCTGGAGATAGCTCTGTCCCCACTCATTTCCACATTGTTCCCACTGCCAAGGCTCTAATCCAGTTCCTCATCATCTGTGCACTGGTGTTCCTTACCCCAGTCCTCCTTCATCCATTCTCAACACTCCCACAGCTTAGATAATGTCACTCTGTTCCCTGGTTCCAGGCTGCAAACAGTACAAGCATTTGGAACTCTGCATACCCAGTTCTGAGATAGCCACCTTCCTACTTTTCTCTCAGCTGCCCCTGAGGTATCCTTGGCTCTGAAACATCAATTTAGTCCGTGTCCCAAAGATGCAACATTCACTTCTTTGCCTATCTAAAAGAAGTATGTCCCTAGCCTATAATGGTCACTCTTCATTCTCTACTAGTCAGTTTCTACATATACAGACCAAGCTCAAATGCTTTTTTTTTATACCAAAGATTGAACTCAGCGATGCTTAACCACTGAGCTATACCCCTAGCCTTTATTGTTTGTTTTGAGACAGGGTCTTACTGAATTGCATAGGGCCTCACTAAGTTGCTGAGACTAGCTTTGAACTTGTGATCCTCCTGCCTCAGCCTTCTGAGCCGTGGGATTACAGGTACATGTGCCACTGCACCTGGCTTGTTTTATCCTTTGCATCAACTCTTGTTGGGGTCATGTAGAAACAGGTCTCCACACGAGACCATCTGCTCAAAATCAAGAATCTTTGCTGTTTACCTCTGTCCCCCACAACAGTTGACATAAGGATGCAGGGCTTCATGCACAAACTGACAAAGGCTTGATAATTTGGGGGTGAGGGCAGGAAGAAGAGGAAAGGAGAGCAGATGGTGAGTGGATTTATTGCAAGCTAATATCAATGCCACAAGAATTAGGGGTGTAGCTCAGTAACTGAGCATTTGCTTAGCATGGAGGAGGCTCTAGATTCCATCCCTGGGACCTGCTGCCAAATAATTAGGTATAAAGGGAGATTACCAACTGCTGAAAAAAAAAGTGGGAAAGCAGAGGATTGAGGCTGAACCATATCTTTCGTTCTATTTCCTCTCCAAAGATTCGACATCTTTTAGAGGCTGCAACTCCAGAGAGAGTTGGTGAGAAGACCCCTCCTGAAGTCTCTACAGAGCCCAGGAAGCCAGGTCAGCAGACAATCTTCCTGGTGAGAGGCATAGGAAGGTCCAAGAGCTGAAGAAATAGCTATCTTTGAGCTTCTTTTAATAGACAGGCCCTGTGAGGAGCACTTTATGTGTGAAACTTATCACTGTCTCACAAGAGTCCTATGGGGCTGGGCATGCATGTAATCCCAGCAGCTTGGAAGGCTGGGGCAGGAAGGTCGCAAGTTCAAAGCCAGCCTTAGCCAAAGCAAGGCATTAAGCAACTCAGTGAGACCCTGTCTCTAAATAAAATACAAAATAGGGCTGGGGATGTGGCTCAGGGGTCCTCGGCCAAAGCAAGGCATTAAGCAACTCAGTGAGACCCTGTCTCTAAATAAAATACAAAATAGGGCTGGGGATGTTGCTCAGGAGTCCAGTGCCCCTGAGTTCAATCCCTGGTAACAACAAAAAAGCAATGCAGACAGGGTCAGGCCAGTTGACTAGACTGGTTCTGACTAGAATCTAACTTAACTCAGCTCTGTAGTCCATGCTTTTGATCACCACTGAACCAAGAAATGTATGGGAACTTGAAAACAGGCAGAGGGGCTGATGTGTGACTTCCCTCCCCCTCCAGACAGGATCTTGGTTACTGTGCTGTCTCCTGAGGCCATCACCCTCCAGGAGGCAGAGCCCATACGTATGCTGCAGATCGAGGTGAGTAATCCCCTAGCACATGGAGCCTCAGCCCCTTGCATCTGTTTCTCTCTGCCTGGGCTTGTAGCATGCTCCTTAGATCCACTCTTCTCGATCCACTTGCCTTTTTCAGAATTGGGACTGAGTCCCTTCCTAAGCTTTTCCTCTTTTGACAGGGTGAACAGGATCTCCCGGAGGTCAGCCGCCGAGACTTGGACCTGCTGATTGCAGAGGAGGATGAAGCTATCTTGTTAGATGCATCCCAGGAAGGCAGGCCTAGGAAGCGAAGGGCTCGTCTGGCTCTGGACGGTCAGAACTCTAGCACCAGCAGTCTGGGGCTTGGCAGTGCTCCCATTTCTTTCCTGCCCTCTGAGCTCTGATCTCTCTGCAGAATCCAAGGAAGAACCCCGTGTCATGGAGGGTGACACTGTAGTTTCCGTGCTTTCGCCTCCAGCTCCTGCACAGTAAGGGCAGGAATCCCTGTACCAGGTAAGGGGTCAGTGCTAAGGAGGATGTCCTAAACCCACTTGCCTATTTCCCTTAAGGGTAGAAGGGATAGGAGAGCCACTTCCAGGCCAGGTCCCAGGACCTGAGGAACTTAAGCTGACAGGCTGGGAGCCTGGGCCCCTGATCACTGGTGAGTATCCACCATGCCCCTGGGCTTTTCTGGGAAGACCTTCATAGGTTGCAAATAAAGGACCTGTATCCCAATCCACTGGAGGGTGGGGTGGGACATAGCTTCTTGACCATGAGAGTGAAGGGGCTTGTGGAACAGAGCCAGGATCTTGGGTATTGTTGCAGAGGTGACCCCTCCACAGGAGCTGCGCCTGCCGGCCCCACCCAGCCCAGAGGTGAGCAGTGTCCTTTATAAGCCACCTCCCTTTCTTTGTCCTGCACCATTGTTAGGTTACTTGGGACTTTTGTGATTAGTAAAAGATGACCCTTTCCATACCCCATTGTGTGGCTTTACTTCCCAAATGGGTACCCTCATGTAAGATATGTGCTGCACAAGTGTACAGAAGCCTTGCCCAAGATCCTGCCCCAGGCAGAGCATGAAGCCATTAGCAGCCCATCTAGATGACAAGAAAAGGAGTGTTGTAGTGTTGTGTACCCATCTCCCCTTCCACTCAGCAGAGGAGGCCCCCACCTCCTGGGAGCCCTCCTATTCGCCGACGCCGACGCCAGTTACTGTTCTGGGACAAGGAGACACAGATCTCACGGGAGAAATTCCAGGAACAGCTGCAAACCAGGGCCCACTGCTGGGAATGTGTGAGTGCAGCCCAGGGAAAAGAGGGACACAGGTCAGACTGGGCCTTTTAAACTCATCAGGGGGAGCTCTGGGAATCCAAAGAAAACCCACTTGGTTCCTTAGTGCATGTGGATTTGCACATGCACTCAAGTCTCCATGCACTTCTGGTTAAAAAGTCCTTTTAGAAATGAGGAAAGTAGAGGGAAGTCAAGAGGCCGAGGCACAATATGTAGCAGAGGTGAAGTGGCACTGAAGAGGCACATAAAGGGCTTCTGGTCTTCCCCCACCATACAGCCAATGGTGCAACCTCCAGAGAGGACCATCGCAAGCCCAGCAGAACTGTTCCGAACTCCAACTCTCTGTAAGAATGGCAGCAGTTGGGCACATGGGATCTTTAGAAGCAATATTCCTCACTCTTAGTGTTTCTTATAACTCAAACCCAGTCCCCTTATCCTCAGCTGGCTGGCTACCCCCAGAACTACTAGCTTTCTGGACCCGCTGTGCCCAGGTACCCCCAAAAGTGCTCAGGCGAAGGCCAACCCTGGAAGCTGAAGAGGAGGCTGAAAGGGAGGCAGCAGCAGAGGAGGAAAGAAGAAGGGCTGAAACATTGAGTGAGATCGAGGTAAGTGCACCCACACCACTTCCTTCAAAGTCCCAAAGCTCTGCTTTGCCTGAGCCCCTGCAGGCTGCCTTCTGCTGCAATTCAGCAGTGCAGGTGCACTGAACTAGTGCCTTCTATCAGAAGCCTGAATCCAGATGCTTGGGTCTCAGTTCTTATTCTTCCACCTGCAGGTCCTAAGGGAGGCCCAGGAGCCCAGTGGTCCCCTCATGCTATCTTCAGGTAAGCACCTGAAGAAGAGACAGCAGAGATAATACACTAAGCAATGTTTTAAGAGACTAGTGCCCCAATTGCTGAAGTTGTTTCCCATCAGGCAGAGAGTGTTACACAAGGAAACAGACTGATTCTCTTCAGTTTTCCTGCCTAGGTGCTTTTCACAAATCCATATGGCTCTGGTGTCTATTCATACAGGATGGACTTTTTTTTTTGGTAGTGCTGAGGCTCAAACCCAACACTCTTAGCACCTTTTCTCCCCACAATAGAACTCTCCCTAGAAGCAGCAGAAGAGGAAAAGTCCCGCATCAGCCTTGCCCTGCCAGAAGAACGGTGGTAAGCAACCAGACTATGTGAGCCTGGGCCAGAGAGGGTCAGCTAGGATGGCTGTGCTGACACCATTGTCATGGCCACCACCTTCCCTGCTCTGACTCCCATTTCTCCTAGGGCCTGGACTGAGGCAGAGCAGCCAGAGCCCCCTGCATTGCCAGTGGTGCCCGAGCTCCCAGAGGTGCCTGTGGAGATACCTTTGGAACTGCCCCCAGAGCCTGAGTTGCTCTCACTGGAGGCAGTGCACAGGTATACCAGGGATAGGGTACCTCAATGGGGATGGACATGGGCTAGGGTCTCAGCTAACAATTCTTGATTCTTACAGGGCAGTGGCATTGGAGCTACAGGCCAACAGGGAGCCAGACTTCAATAGCCTAGTGTCACCTCTCAGCCCCCGCCGGATAGCCTCCCGGGTCTTCTACCTACTCCTGGGTTAGTGCAAGTATAACAGACACACAGGCCAGCGGCCACTACAGATACTCTTTGTGACCTGCCATCATCTTCTCTTCTCTTGACCAGTGCTCTCAGCACAGCAGATCCTTCTTGTGGAACAAGAGAAGCCATACGGGCGCCTTCTGATTCATGCAGGACCCAGATTTCACTAAGGGTAGAGCCCATTTATAAGCCTTCATTAAACAATGCCCTGCCTCACTGGGTCTTGCCTGCCTCGTTTCTGTATAAGTATCTCAAGCCTTCCAGCTCTCAGAGCTATTATCCAAGCAGAAAACAAACTGCCTTTTTTATTGTATGATGTTATGACTCAACCTGTAACAGATGCAGTCCCAAGGACACCCCTGTAAGGCAGCAAGCAGGGTTGACTCCAGTGGATGAGGCCCAAAATCTTTGGTAAGGCATGAGCAGGAACTGGGGTCAGAGGTGGTCTTAGGGCCTGGGCAGACTCTGCTCTCTGGCCCAGCTGCGGCTTGCATTCTAGGTGAGGCCCAGCACGGCTTGGAGCTCCTGAGCCTTGTCAGCAGGCAGTGAGCCCAGTGCCGTGTGGAAACTGTCCGTATGTTGTTTGGCCAGGAATGTCAGGAGCAGCAGCAGTGCAGCCTTGGTGTCTGGGTGGAGTGCAGAGGGAGAGGTCCTGATGGGGGACTGTACTCCTAAATATTTACTGCCCCACACCGGTTGAACCCTGCTACTCTGGTCTTCTCCATTCCCCATCCAAGACTGCCACCCTTACCTGGTGGTATCTTGTTGTCAGCCAGAACGAGGCTGCAGATGCGCAAGAGTTCAGGAGCCACATCTACAACCTGTGGAAAAAGAGTGGTTGTCTCAGGGGCAGTAGCTCCTATGGGCCCTCAGGACTTAAGGAGGTAGGTGGTTGGGAAAGAGGCAGTCTCCTGTCAAATGCCATTTGATTCACAGGCATCCAAAACAACTGTGAACAGAGTAAGAAAATGTGGTAATAACTTTTTTTTTTGGAAGGGATGGAGATGTATGACCAAGAATGACTAAAGTCATAGCCTCAAGTATAAAAGACTTTTAGACAAAGGTAATACAAGAACACTGGAACAGCTGGGCACAGGGGGTACACGCCTGTAATCCTAGCAGCTCAGAGGCTCAGGCAGGAGGATTGTTCAAAGCCAGCCTCAGAAATTAGCAAGGCCCTGTCTCTAAATTAAAAAAAAAAAAAAAAAAAAAAAGGCTGGGGATATGGCTCAGTGGTCAAGTACCTCTGGATTAAATTCTTAGTATCAAAAAAAAAGGGGGGGGGTGCTGAGGTTGTGGCTCAGTGGTAGAGCACTCACCTAGCACATGTGAGGACCTGAGTTTGATCCTCAATACCACCTAAAAATAAAGATATTGAGTCCAACTATAACTTAAAAAAAAAAAAAAAAAAAAAGAACCCTGGAACACAAATCCACATAGCTTCTTGGTACAGACAAAATCTAATTCAGAAAGCAGAGCTATTCTGATTGAAATGACAGTGAGGTGGCTCAGAGGTACCCATGGTTCCAAAGAGTAGTTTCCTAGCCCTGGTCTAGGAAATAAGTTTAGGAAAATTTTAAACTACTAGCTCAGCCCGGAGGGTAGAAATGGAGCTAAGGAAAATAGAGGAAGCTTCTTTTCTCCTACAAGATGGCTTGTCAATACTTATGGACAATTAAGAAAATGTGAAAGTAGAGCATAAGAACAGCTGGAACTCGCCTCCCACTCGCTGTACTTATCACCGGTCTATCAGTGAGACTGGAGCATTATGTTCCCTCATGGGTGCTGCCAGCATTGAGGTTACCTGGTCAGGACTGTTCTGGTACAGGAAGCTGAAGAGGTGCCCTATGGTGACCCACTCCTCCAAGTCTTCCCTCAGTGGCAGGGCGTGCAACAGGGCAGCCAACACCTGGACACAAAGATGCCTTAGGCCTATTTGTCCTGCCCCTCTGCCACCCTTGGCTTCCAGACCCTGTTTGATGTCCCCCTCCCTCACCTGCGGCTCTGGTTTCTTTGTCGGACTGGCCATTAGCAGACGGGCAAGGGCCCCACAGATGTTGTCACGGACACGATCATGTCGCTCCCGTGCCAGAAGAGGCAAAAGGAGGCCCAGCAGCTTGGGGAAGTGGCTGGTCCACAGTCAAGGAATAGGTGCATGCACACAGGTAGGCCTTGTTGTTCCCTGAACCCTCGGGACACTCTCCCAACCCCACCCTTCTAATCACCTACAAGCTAAGGATACTCCTGAGCAGGGCGGCCTCCATGCTCTGCCAGTACTCCCAGTCCAAAAATGGAATTGCTTCGCACCTCAGGGTCTGCTTCCCGGGCAGTGCTCAATAGCACAGGAAGCAGCCGAGACACAAACTGAGCTGAGGCAGCACCCAGACCCTGAATGGATTCTGCCAGTGTCCCCACTGCAAAGGACTTTTCTGCCACTGTACAGCCCTGCTTCTGTTGGGGAGGAGGACAGAGGAGTATAAATCAGCCTGGGACTAGGACACAGTTGGGGAGCACATGGGTGGACCAGGGTTTGAAGCCCGAGGATGGAGCACTCACCGTCTTACACAGCAATAATGGCAAGAAGCCAGCAAAGAAAGGAGCAAAGTTGTCTCCCCCAGCTGCGGCGGCCAGGGCAGGGATGGCCTCTCCAGCATGCTCTAGCAACATGGCGTCGTATTCAGCCTATGGAGCCAGATTACGGGCTGGAGCACCAGGGCCAGCTTTGGGCCTGTTCACACTTTTCCACTCAGTTCTGCCAATGGCAGCAGGTGGCTCCAGGCAGGCCTTGGTTGATGGGATTTCCCAAACTTCCAGGCTAGCTTTTGTGCAACTCTGGCCCTCTTGCCCCGCATCTATTGCTCCAAGCCTGCCGCAGTCACACTGCTCTCCCCTGAACTTCACTACCTTAACAGTTACATCATTCTTGCCATTACTAATCTTTTATTGGCCCTGGCTCCCCCTAAGTCAAAATGAATACACTGTCTATTCCTGACCCTGTGGAGACTATCTGGACTGCCTTAACCTGTTTTCATTTGTAGCTCTCACCTGATCATCCTCCTCTTCCTCTTCCTCATCAGTGTCCTGACAGGCTGTCTGTGGGGAGAAATAGCTCAGCTGAGTCTGGGTTCTCCTGTACCTTCTTTTCACATAGGCACAAAGAACTGAACTTATAATCTCCCATTATCCACTCCTCTGGGGCCTGGCACCTCCTCTTCCCACAGCCCCCTGCCCTACTCACCTTCCTCTGTAACACAGCCTTGAGCATGCTACAGAGCTCAGCAAGGCGCCCAGGGTGTTGCAGTGTGAGGGTTCCACAACTGCGCAGCACCCCTGTCAGGGCCTCCAGCACAGCCATTACCACCTGACGCTCTCTTTCCCCATTCACTGTCTGAATGTAGGATGGCACCACCCGGGCCAGAGCAGCCTGCAGAGCTGAGAACATTATTGGCTGAAACCTCAATCAGGCCCTGCTCCTTACCCAGAGCCCCCAGTCTGGCTTGGTCTCCCCTTCTCACCAGCATTGTTGGGTTCTGAGGGACAGCTTTGACAGGCCTTGTGCAGTGCACAGCAGAATTGACCCAGAGCCTCATAGGCTGCCTTCCGCACATTCAGATGAGGACACTGGAATGAAGAGGAGAGGTTCATGCATACGCTATGTGGGGAGAGCACAGCCTCAGCCTAAGCACCTCACCCATTCCATTCAATAGGCAACTCACCTCCCGCAGTTTGAATACTTCTTCAAAGGCACTCTCCATATATGGAAGGAAAGCCACACTGTAGAGACACATGACTGTGGGGAAAGGGCTCCCAGAAGGTGTTCCCAGTGCCAGGGAAGGACTGATGCTTACCTGGTGTTCACAGAAATCTCCCCCAGAGCAGTACAGGTATCCTCCTTCTCATCAAAGAAGGCATTCTCCACACTATACCTAGATGAAGGTGGGAAGGCAGGGGTGATAAGATACCAGAAGGAGCACGTCTGGCACTAGCCTTTGTTCAAAATCAAAATCTGGATTCCTCTGAGCAGAAACACCTCTCTGTACCCTGAGATCTCCGAGTCATCCTCTTCCTCCACGTCCTCATCCATGAGCTCTTCCTCTTCCTCCCCATCACTCTCATCATCAAACAGAAGGAAAGGGCTGCTTCCTTCACACTGAGGCTGGATAGAGGATGCATAGCAAGAACTTTGGCTCACTTGGGCCTAAATCACATCATAGGGCTAGCCTTACCTAACTGGCCCAGCCCACCCACCCTTCGCTTACCACAATGCCCTCAGTGGAACGCAGTGACAACAGCATGAGTGTGGTGATTTTCGACAGATGGGGTGCCAGGCCCTCACCCATTAGACCTGATAAGGCTGCAAATAGGCTGTAACTGGTAGAGAGAGACAGAAGCTGTATGGTGCTGCCACCACTATAGCCAGGCAGGATGGGAGAGCCTAGGGAAACCTGCCTGTGGTCCAAAACCAGAGGACTGGAGTCTGGGGTGGGCTCTGTGGATCCAGTGGGTGGGCAAGAGGGAAAGGGGCAGGATGAGGGGTCACTCACGTGCAGCGGCGCAAGTCAGGGTCGTCTACCTGGTCGCATAGGCCCAGCCCCAGCTGACAACATTCCTCAGCCAGGGGCCTCATGGGCTCTCCCACTGCTCGTGCCAGTACCGCAAGTGTCTCTATGGGGATAAGGGCTTGTTGACACTAGGATGTGCAAGTGGGCTAGGAGACCAAGGTGTAGCTGGGAGGAATTCAGAAATTCCACCCTACTCCTAGGTACAGAGTGGAGAGAACACCTTTGAGAAGGAAGATGCCTACACTACCCTGAGGGCAATGTCCGTGAACATCAGGTGAGCACTGGTCTTTCCTTGTCACTAGGAACCCTGCTTAGGGGGCCCTTACTCACCCAGGCTCTGGATCTGCACAGGCTGAAGGTCTTCATGGCCCATCAACAGAAATTCCCGAAGATGTTCCATGATGGTGGGGAAGTAGGGCAGCAGGGAGGCCTGAGCAGCTGTGGCTGTAGAATGGAGGCCAGAATCAAAGGTGGAACAAGGGTGGGGACCTTCTGCTACAAGGTCTTTGGGTGAACCCTGTGCCTTCCTCCTGCCTTCCTCCTCACCAATGGCTCCCATGGCGCTCACAGCCAGCTCCTTGGCCCGGGGGCTGCTGGGATTACTCAGAGGCTGCAGCATACACTCCATAAGTTCCGGAAGATAAGGCTGAACTT